ACCAACTCACTAAGATGAGCACAGCTCCCAAACATGAAAGGAGACAGCCTCTTGACCTGCAGTTTGACGTACTTGTTTTGAAATGAAAATAAATTGTATTTTGTGAAGTGAAGGACGGGCTTGAGATTTCCGAGAAGCTCTGACTACGGCCCTGGGCTGCCAAGAAGCCTGCTAGGGAACAGACAAGTCGCCTTGACAGGAGAGGTTATTGTTTTACGTGGCGGAGCCCTTATCTAGAAGTCCTTCATGGTGAAAGTTCTTATTTTTCACACGAAGCTGGGAAGTTTCAGTGGTAAAGTCTGTGTCAATCACGTACATGAAAAATACAAGCAAATCCAATGTTCACCGCTGACACTGACACCACTGTCCTCCTCGATGTCTACAAAAACGGGCATTTAATTTGGAGGTGTTAGGATGAATCTGTTTGGGGAGCACGGACGCACATCCTCGGAAGCTGATGTCACTTCTGCGGCATGGCGAGGACAGCGATGTCACAACTTATAAACAGCGATGCCAGTTACAGTGTCCACCGCCCTCTCTTGTGCCCAGCCTCCGTCCTCCGGGGCCACTATTGCACAGTTTGGGGCAAAAATCCAAATCCTGCTTAAACTCAACTCTCCTCCAACTCTGCCTAGGCCCAAGCAGCTAATCGTGGGTGGGGGATGCTCGCGAGGATGGTAACTGGTGCCACTGTTAGTTCGTCCCACGATCCTCAGTGGACCGTTCGTGCTGTCGGCAGCGACACTGCATCCCCCTCGTTCACCGTTCAGCTCGTTCATACCTTTTTTTTTCTTTTTTTTGCAACAGAGGGAGGGAGAAAGGGAGAAAGGTTGAAATTTAGGATTAAAATAACAACTGTTGGAGAGGCTGTAAAGCAAATGGAATTCTCATCCTTTTGAGGGGGTGCAGGGTAAGTGAGAAGGTGTCAGGCTTTTCTGCCCTCCCGCCATCAGGATGGAGGATGGATCCCTGTGGTCCTGAGTGCATGCCTGATGGCGGCACCTGGAGTGGGGTGCGGGCGTAGGGAGATGGGATTCACCTGGGCGAAGACTGGGCTTTTAAGGGCGGCATCACGGGGACGCCAGGAGAAGCCGGGAGCCAGAGAGCAGGACACGGAGAAACAGAGAGCACAAGAGCGAAAGAGAGACTGAAGGAGAAGCAGAGACCGCCGGAGAGCACTGGAGAGCCCAGGTAGAGTGAAGGCTTGCTGGGGGCTGGGAGGCCTGCCAGCTTCTCGGCCCCCCAGCACCCCTGCCCCCCAGCACCCCTGCCTGCCTGTACCTGGTAAATCCCAATAAAAGCCTGAAAAGCTGCCAAGGGCTCCAGGACTTTCTCCTCCTTCGCCCATCTGCTCGGGTCAGAGAGACCCTGCTCTGTCCCTCCTGCCTTTATGGGGGGGGGCAGCATAAATTGGTAGTACCACTTTGGAAAACCGAGCGGCAGTATCTAGCGAAGCTGAGCATGCATCTACCTGTGACCAGAAAGCGCACTCCTAAGTACACGCCCCAGAGAAAGGAGCCTGGCCTTGGAGCATGGGTCCCGCGTCAGCGGTCTGGGTAACACCCAGCAACTTTCCCCTCAGAGCCCCACCATGCCAGGTGGAGACAGTTGGCCTCGGGTGGACCCAATTAACAGCAAGAAAGTAACGGGGCGGGGCAGGGGGATGGCGCCCTGGGAAATGAACTCTACCTGGAGAGAGGGGCTCATCAGAGTTTGGGGGAGCCTTAGAAAAACAAAAAGCAGAGAGCAGGGAGGACACAGCCTTTCTAATTTTAACCTTCTGGCATTTCAAAACCATAAGACGGCAGAGTGAAAGCCAAAATACCACCACGGTCACTTCCCAGCCAGATGATTACATACGAACACAAAAATGTTTACTTTGCTTTTCTAAAAGTGAAGGTTAGTGTAGGGCGGTTATTCCTGTTATCTATTAATTAGTCCACTGATTCATGCATTCATTTATTCACCAGTCATTCCGGAGAAGCTGTTTTAGGATTTCTCCACAGGAAGCCTGGAAGGGCAGGGTGCTGGGGTTCCAGAAGTGCAAGATTTAGAGGGAGTCATTCGATCACACGGTTATTCCATCAATAAATATTTGTGAAATGCCTGTTACCTACCAGGGCCTGAGAAAACAGCCTAGCTCTCCAACCTAAAATGTGTAGCTTAACACTTAGTATATTTTTACTTTTTATGTTTGTAAAGAGGAGCTATTAACACCCAATCAGTGGATTCATTATATAAAATAAATAAGATCTTGTATGTAAGTGTCTGCTGGGAGCTGCAGTGCTTAGTAACAAATAGACTGGAATTCTGGGGTGCTTTGTAACTTGGTGCAGTTATCTTCAACTCTGCTTGTTTATTTGAATTACCTAGAAATCATTAAAAAAATCATTACTGGGCCTCCCTGGTGGTGCAGGGGTGAAGTCTCAGCACTATGAAGCTGTCCGCAGCCACTGCAGCATGACTTTGATTCCCGGCCAGGGAGCTACCCACATGGCGCAGCAGACCTCTCCTGTCTCCCCGCTGCTCCCCTCAGCAGTGGATTTCAGTCGGTCTGCCTGTTCTGCTCCCCACTCTGTCTCTGGTGAATCTTCTCACCCCCCACACCTCTGGCCTGTACCACAGCTCTTGTATGCGTAAATAATTTTTTTTTTTTTAAATCAGTACTGAAACCTCTTTTCTGAGATTCTGAGGTGGTGATGGGGGCGGGTAAATTACTTTGCATATTTCTTCAGGCGATCCAGAGTGTGCACAGGGCTAAGCACTGCTGGTCTAACAGAGTCAGTGTCGGCGGCTGTGTCAGCACCTCAGCCCAAACCACAGAGGCCAAGACCAAGGAGTTGCCTCAAATGAACTTGCCCCAGATTTTGTGTGTGTTTCCCCAGCTTTTTCCCCTATCATCTTGCCTCTTCATGCATTTAAAAGGAGAAAACACAAGTGAGTAGGTTGATACGCAACTTATTTGAAAGATCCTCTTAGACATCCGATGCAAACGGCATGGTTTGCCTTGGGAGCGCCCTGCAACATTTGGAAACAACCTATGCAAGAACCTTAAGATTATTATTTGGAATCTGATTTAGAAAAAAGTGGGCTCATCTTTGTGTCCTTCCCGTGGGCTCAGTTCTCGCACCGTCAAGGAGAAATTGTCCTCCGAGCTGGGGATGTTTCGGGAGCACAGTGACCGAGGGGCTGCTGCGACTCAAGCCATGAGGAACTGATGGTTTCGTCAACGGCTCCCACCGCACTGTGCTCCTTAAAAGACATGTTTGTTATTTTTAGAAAGCAAAAGTCTAAACCCTCAGGGTTTATTCGATAGAAAACATCTGCAAATATTTTTTTGGCATCTCCGGCTGAGGAGGAAGAGGCCTGAGGGCTGGGAAAGGCGCGAGAATGAAGGGGAGTGAGGTTGGTTCCAGGTTCTCACAGCGCCGCCCAGGCCTCGCTCTTTATCTGCAATGTTTTTTGGTTTTTTTCCAAAAAGAGCCAATAATAGTGTTAAAGTCTATTAATTCCTGTAAGAGGTGCAAAGCATTTAGGGCGTTTTCTCACAGCATTGCATGATCTCTAAGAAGGAGGAGCCAGAAAAAACTGCTTGGGGAAAAAAAAAAATCCGCCGAGTTCCGTGAGTGAGCAATGGATGAACAACAGCACAAAGCGGTGTCCTAAACCTGTTTAGAAATGAAGTGAATTGAGGCTCCGGGCTGGCTTGTTAGCTATCCGAATTCAAAGGAAAGCAAGTTCTAGCTGGAAATCGGAAATTTTAATAGGTAGCTATCAGGCTAAGAGGCTGCTAGCCATGGTTTCCAAAGCATCAACAAACTTGTATTTAAATTTTAGGATTTTATAGCCCATACATAAAAGCGACAACTTCTGGCTAATGAAAAGTAAACAGGAAAAAGTTATGCAGTTCTGAAGATCCCAGATCTTTCTATAAAAATAACTGTTAGTATAGTAACAGTTTCTATTATAAGTAACTGTTATATTAAAAGCAACCTTTAGTATTCTTGGCAGGTGACAGTTCATAAAGCTCTTGCCATCCACCTGATTTCACTTTGCTTTCCCAACAGCCCCGTGAGCTCAGTGTCCCCAACTCCATTATCTTGTCAGGGAAATAGAGACGTGATATATTTTTAAATAATTTGCCAAAAGTCATGCATTTGATAACAAAGGAAGCCACACTAGGTGCAGAGCCATCTTCTTTGCCAACCTCATGCCCCCTGCAACCTCTCCTTTGCCATGAGACTGTTGAGGGTGGGAGATCAGAAGGAAAGGGTGAGACATTTTTAGTTAGATGTGAAGGGACATAGCGTAGCCTGAGTCACTTTTTAGGAGATTCTCTTATCTGTGAAGCTACGTTCCCTAAAAGTGAAGCAAAGACTGTTCATCTCCAGCACAGCGCGAGATACCTTATAGCCCTGGTCAAAAGCGAAACAGATTTAGAATGTCCTGGAGACCGTCTCCGTCACGTCTAAGGCAATCCTTTCCTACTCGCTGATAAAATTGGATCGTTCTCATACAAATCGTATTTGCAATGGGAGGAAATACACTATCTGACAACATTTTCTTTAACCTTCCTTAGCTCAGTCATCCAGCTTTTCACAGGCAAACACGAGGAACCTCAAGGAGGGAATTGTCGGTTTAAAAGTTAACCTTATTGAAATTTAGGTGACCTGTGACTTCCAACAGAGCTCTCTCCTGTCTGGACGGTCATCCCTGCTCAAGTCCTCAGGCCGCCCAGCACCACCCCCTCCAGGCCACCTGCTGAGCCTGCGTTTCCGATGCACACCCAGCTGTGACTGGGCAGAAACAATTTCTCTCAAGTCTCACCTAATTTCTTTCAAACGCTAAGTCAGATGATACTCATTTTATTTAGCGCTGTGTCTGGACACTCTCTGACCTCGAGGTCAATCAAGCCTTATAACGTCGGACAAAAAGAAAAGGAAAAAATGAAACACGATCTGGTAACAAAATAGGAGGCCGGGGCGGTTATGGTTTTTTTTTACAAATATAACTTGGGCTGTATTTCTGGAAACGAGGCCCGCACTTTTCAGCACAGTGTGTTTTTATTAACATTCTGTACAAAACAATTCATAGCTTGGCTCACAGCAGTGCGAAAGTGCAGCTAGAAACCCGGTCTCGCCCCAGGGACTCGATCTAGGCGCATCTTCTGTAAGTTCATCTGTTCTGGCTTCCTCGCTGCATGGAGCCCAGGGGCCAAATGCCCACGGCAAGAGTCAGGCCGCAGGAACCCCCAGCTCAGGCCGAAACAGGCAGGAACCTGACGGACTTGGAGAACTTAGGCGAGTCCTTCCACACACGCACACTGCTGCTGGGGCTCCGGTTGTTGGTGTACGTCGTCTGTCTTCTGCTCACACTGTCGGAATCTTCTTTGTGGAATTTTTGCTTCACGCTTTGGCAGCACGGGAAGCTTTGGACGCAGTCTTGGAGGAGATGGCCGCTGAAAAACATGTATATCCAGGGATTACAGCAGCTGTTCAAGGAAGCCAGCAAGGCAGTGATGGTGACGACCGGGTTCTCTGACTCTGTATGAAACACATAAAGGGGGATTATTTAAATGGTCAGATGCAAGTGAGCGAGCCCTGCATAAGCTCATTTTTCTATTGGCTAATAAATAAATTTGAGGAAAAGTAAATGATTAATATAAAAATGAAATATTTCACTTATTGATCAGGGAAATGGGTGGTGTATGGAAATTGCTTGGCGATAAAATATTTTTTTACAAATAAGCAAGATAACTTGAAATTAATTCACATATTTTAAAACCACAATTAAAATATTTATGTAGAAAGAATGGGAATTTCAATAAGTTAAAAATGTGAAATAAACCATCATTATTTTTTGTAGCCTTGATTAGCACTAGTATGTCCTAGTGAATCCAGCACTTACAGAATGTGATTTCAAGAATCTATAACCACATGCAGCAAACTGTATTCATCTGAATAATTCAGGCGCAAGGGTGGCACTGTCTCTGTTTAGTAGTTTCAAGTTTTTAATCATTAAATATATTCTTATAGTAGGTATAGTACGTAGCAGAGAATACTTGAAATAGGTCCCTGAACAATGCAAAATTTTACTTTAGTTTTCTTATGTAGTTAGACACAACTTTTGATTTCAGAAGAAAACCATCTTTTCTGTGGTATGAACAAATAAATGATATTAAGGAGAACAGCTGAATTAGGAAGTTCCAGCGGACTTTTGGAATATCTGAGGTTAATTTGTGCTGGCAAACTTCATAAATATCACAGCCTTTCATAGCAGATAATGACTTTTCCTTGATATTAAGAACCAACTTGGGTCTTCTCACTCTTGTTACGCCAGAATGAATTACAGGTTATTTAATCATTCTTTGTGTTAAATATTACTATTAAAAGGGATCATAATCCACTAGTAAGACTGTGTTCAAACAGAGCAATCATCAACATACCTAGGCATAAGTAGAATTTTAGTAATTGTGTCTAAATCCTAACAAAATTAGACTGAATTTTTTTATTTGACTGGAAATAAGAGGCCGCTAAAATCAAGCAAGATAAGTGGTGAGCCAAAAATATATTGTTGTGTTATATTTTTCATTTCAGTGATATTGCACCCAGGCAAGAGGTTTTATTTGCTTGAACTAAATTTATCCTCAAATGATTCATTTATACATTTAATACCCAGAGTACATCATGCTACTCCCTACCCTAACCTCAAATAACAAAAAGGAGGCTTTTCAGTTGTCAGTAATATTCCTGTGATTGGTGTGAAAACTTTTTATTACGGAAAAGGGGATTTTTTTTTTCCAGAGACAATATTACCCTTAACAGTCCTGGGGTATAAATAAATAAATCATTTGAAAGTAAAAAAAAAAAAAATTAAAAATATTTTTTGGGTAAAGTCTCGTGAAGTTACTTTTTCTAGCTTGTGAAGGAATTAAAACTCAAGCAAGGAATTAAAACTCAATGTAGAGAACATTCTCAGTAAACTATCGCAAGAGTTGTGTGAAGAGTGGGCAGCTGTGATCAAATTGGGGCTAAGAGACTGAAGAATGAGTTTAACAGTTACAGTTTGTCAATAATCCTGTTTTGAAATATCAGGAGAAAAAGTGCTAAAGTGATTGTTAGAAAAAACAAAAAGATCACGGTAAGTGGAGCAGCAGCTGCCAGCGCACCGGACTTTCCAAGGGCCCGTCTTCAGGAAAACAGGTCCATGTTATGCTTGCTCTTGGGGTGATTTCTACATTTTTATCTTAATTGCAACACTTCACAAACAAGCAAAAAACAGGTGGTACAGTAAAAATATTTCCTTGAAACGCACAGATTTGAAAGCAGGGTATGAACAGCGTTTAGTGACTTGGCAAAAAGTTGTTAAATCCTGTTTTGTGGTTATGTGGCCAACTTCAGTACAGGTTTCTGGATGTGTGTTCTTGGGAGCATTTGCGCTATAAACGCAGATTCCTGGACCCCGTTCTAGATCTAGGGAGTCAAAAGGGCTGGGGCGAGGACCCCAGAAATTTGCCTTTTGGACAGTTTCACCCAAGGTGTGATGGGGAGTCCTAGTCATGCAGTTTAAGAACTATTGCCCTGTGGGGTGGGAGGAAAGAAATCCGTTCTCTCTCTCTCTCACAAACACACACACACTCACGCTCACACACTCACAAACACACGCGCGCACGCGTCCCCAAGCCTGCCCCTGGCGCCCCCAAGCCTGCCCCTGCGCGCCCCCAAGCCTGCCCCTGGCGCCCCCAAGCCTGCCCCTGCGCGCCCCCAAGCCTGCCCCTGGCGCCCCCAAGCCTGCCCCTGCGCGCCCCCAAGCCTGCCCCTGGCGCCCCCAAGCCTGCCCCTGCGCGCCCCAAGCCTGCCCCTGCGCGCCCCCAAGCCTGCCCCTGCGCGCGCCCCCAAGCCTGCTCCTGGCGCCCCCAAGCCTGCCCCTGCGCGCCCCCAAGCCTGCCCCTGCGCGCCCTCAAGCCTGCCCCTGCGCGCCCCCAAGCCTGCCCCTGCGCGCCCGGGGTCTGACACCCACCGACCCAGACGGACGTCTCGTCCCAGACGGACCACATCTGCGTGACGAAGAAGGGCGCCCAGCACGCGACGTAGGCGCTGACGATCACCAGGGTCATCCTCACGGTGCGGATCTTGGCGCGCGAGATGGTGCCGACGCCGCTGACGCGGGGCTCGAGCAGCCCCCGGCCCGGGGCCGCGTCGGGGGCGCCGGCGCGCAGGTGCGAGGCGGCCTTGGCGCGCGCGTTGCGCCAGATGCGGCAGCAGATGAAGCCGTAGCAGGTGCCCAGCACGAGCACGGGCGCCACGAACACGCCGCCCGTCATCCAGGTCACGTAGGCGCGCGGCCCCCAGGGCTGCACGAAGGTGGCCCAGCAGTCGTAGGTCCCGGTGGCGTTGTCCACCTGCACCAGCGAGAAGACCAGGTACTGCGGCGCGCTCAGCACGAGGCTCAGCGCCCAGGCGGCCGCGATCATGAGGCGCGAGCGGCGCGCCGGCTGCTGCAGCGTCTTGAGCGGGTGGCACACGGCGATGTAGCGGTCGGCGGTCATGGCCACCAGCATGTAGGCCGACGCGAACATGCCGAACACCTGCAGGTGCTTCACCACGCGGCACAGCCCGTCGGGGCCGCGGAAGCGGTAGGTGACGTCCCAGCACAGCTGCGGCAGCACCTGGAAGAAGGCCACGGCCAGGTCGGCCAGGCTCAGGTGGCGGATGAACAGGTGCATGCGCGGCGCCTTGCGCGGGGAGCGCCGCAGGGCCAGGAGCACGCCCCCGTTGCCCAGCACGGCCACGGCGAAGGTGGCGGCCAGCACGGCCACCTCCAGCTTGGCCAGCTCCTCGTCGCGCTCGTCGCCCCGCGCGCCCGGCCCGCGCGCCCCCGCGGCCCCGCTGGCGTTGGCCCCCCAGGCGCTGCGGTTGCCCGCGGGCCCCGCGCCGGCGCCCCCCGGGACGCGCGCGCCGTCCATGCGGCCCGACGGCCCCTCCCCGCGCGGGCGCTGGCTCGCCCGGCTGCGGGACCCGCGCCCTCCCCGCCCGCCCGCCCGCCCGCCCGCCCGCCCGCCCGCGAGCCCCAGGAGCGCCCGGCCGAGCCCCGCGCGCGGCTACTTATGCGGCTCCGCGGCGGGAGGCGGCGCCCGGCTCCGCCCGCCCCCCCGGGGCCGCCCCGCCTCGGCGATTCGCCCCGCGTCGCGGCTGCGGGGGGCGGGCGCGCGGGGGGAGCCGCCCCACGAGCGCGGCGGCGGGGTTCGGGGCGCTCTCCCGCGAGCGTCCCTCCGGGACCCGGAGGCTGGACGTGCCCGGCCCCCCGCGCTCGCCGCGACCTCCCCGCCTGGGTCCGGCTCCGCCCGCCGCGCCCGCGCTGCCCGGTCCGCTCCCCGCGCCGCGCCCCGCACCCCGCCGGCCGCGCGGGTCACCCCGGGAAAGGCCCCTCCCCCGGGGCCCGCGGGGTCTTGGGGTGACGCTCGGGGAGGCCTCTCACGCGGGACCCCCGGGGCTTCCTCCGGGGAGGGCGGGAGCGGGCGGCCCGGGCCGCGGCCCGCGGGGACCGGGGTAAAGGCGGGGCCTCCTCTCGGCCGGCGGCCCCCGGGGCGCCCCCGCGCGAAACCCGCCGCTCCTGCGCCTTGGGGGAGCCCCTCGGGGGGAGCCTGAGGACGCCCCGCTGGTCGGCCGCGCGGAGCCGCCCCGGGGGAGGCGGGACTCTGGCCCCGGGCGCGGGTTTCCAGCTTCGGTGACGCGGGGGGCGGGGGGCGTTCGCAGGTTATTGGGGGCGCGGGGGACAAACGCAAAGGCACCTCCTAAGTCGCTACAGCGCGTGATGACGTCTTGGCCAGAACCGCCCTGGCGGCCGCGGCTGAATCTGGGGAGACGCCGAGGACCGCGGGGCGCAGCAGGTGGCCCCGGGGCCGTCTCAGCCCGGCCCCCCCGCGCCCCCCGCGCCCCCCGCGCCCCCCGCGCCCCCCGCGCGCCTGGGCCGGGGTCTCGTTTCACGCGTCTTGAAAACAGACGGAAACGCCAGCTCCGCCGGCGCCGGGTGGGGCGGGACCCGCAGGGAGCCGTGGGGCGCTCAGGGGGCGCTCAGGGGGGCGGCGGGGCCCTCGCGCTTCCCGCGAGGAGAAAAGTCCGGCGGGGACAGCAGCGAGGCTCCCGGCGGCCGGTCCGGGGAACCCCTCCGGCAACTCGGCGAGTCCGGGCTGGGGAGGCTGAACCGTCTCCCTCGGGGTGTCCGCGCGCGGGGCCGGGGGTCCTTGGAGCAGAACCAGGCGCTGTTGCTGTTCTGGCCCTGCAGGCGCTGCTCGTGGTTTCTCCAGGGAGGGGCGTCCGCAGTGCAGGGTTACCGAGGTTTTGGGGTTTATATTCCTGAGAAATGGGGTGGTGACCGGCAGGCAGCATTCATCAGGGTCCGGCTTCCGCGCCAATAATCCAACTATATTCAGTTTATAAAAATCACTTGCAGGGGGGTAAGACGCAGCACTACGAAGCTGTCCGCAGCCTCTGCAGCACGAGTTCGATCCCCTGCCAGGGAGCTGCCCACACGGCGCAGCAGACCCCTCCCGTCTCCCGCTGCTCCCCTCAGCAGTGGGTTTCAGTCAGTCTGCCTGTTCTGTTCCCCACTCTGTCTCTGGAGAATCCTCTCACCCCCCACATCTCTGGCCTGTACCCCGGTTCTTATATAAATAAATAAATAAATAAATCTTTTAAAAAAATCACTTGCAGTTTCCACCAGTGGGTACGATTGGAAGATAGTCTTACTCAGTGAACACCTGTAAGGGCTACACGGATGTGTTAAATTACTCATGTGTATTAAATATATGTATACACTATGTTACTCATATGTACTGAATATATATATATATATATATATATCTAGCACGGAGAACCCATCAATATCTTCTATTGCACAGAGGAGAGCTGAGGATAGGATATTGCATTACTTGAAAGAAAGAAACCTACTGGCAAGTTACAGAACGACCCTGCATGGCAGGGTAACGTGGAGGATATTTACACACTTGAAACGAACGTGAATTAACGTTTTGCACACAAGTGCAATGCTAGAAACTTACACAGCCATCCACGTAATCCGCAGCATCTGCATTGTGCTTCACCACCAAGATTTTACAGGTTAATCCCTTGAATGTGAATGATTTTATCAGTAAATAATTCATGTCACTGAACGCAGGTGCTTGGACCCGGAGTGTTGAGAGACCAGTGCCGGGATCAGACGGGTCGGAGGCAGCGTAACCTGCCTCCCCAGGGACAGGGAACCCCGTGGAGACGGGCTACATTTCCTTCATCACGCTGCCCCACATGCAGAGCTTCTCCTCTCATCCCAAAGCGGAGTGTCCTATTGGGCGTGATTGGTGCCTGTATTTGGGGTCTGGAAATGCTATTACCAATAATTGATATGGGAAAAATCTTGAGCTTCCCAGACCCAAAAAATAATCTACTAAATCATGCCAAATAGGAATACATTCCACTCTGGGATGAGAGAGAGAGAGTGTGTGTGTGTGTAAGCCTCTATGTGTGTGTATGTGTATATGTGTGTGTGTGTGTGTGTGTGTATATATATATATAGTTCCATGCAAATTCTAGAGCACAGTCATTCTTTTAACCCATGTCATTTTTAACATATGTCTTATTTGTATTGGTTCCATAGTCAAAGAATACCAAAACCATTTTATTTTATTTTATTTTTTTAAGATTTATTTATTTATTTATTTTTGTTTATTTATACAAGCACTGGGTACAGTCAGCAGCGCAGGAGGGTGAGAGAATTCACCAGAGCCAGAGCGGGGAGCAGAGCAGGCAGAAGGACCGAAGGACACTGCTGAGGGGAGCAGCGGGCGGCAGGAGAGGTCTGCGCGCCATGTGGGACCCTCCTCCGGTGGCCGGGGAGCAGCTGGGGATCGAACCGGCGCTGCAGAGGCTGCGGGCAGCTTCGCAGTTCAGCGCTCAACCGCTGCGCCACCGGGGAGGCCCTCAAAAACATTTTAATACAGCCACTACTCATGTACCTCAGCAGACTTGCTATGAAAATTACCCAGTAGAGACCACAAAAGAATTGTGGTCTTAAAATGTGAAAAAAAAAAATGTGTCAGTATTTACTGTGGCATCTTGTGTTTTTTTCTTAGAGAAATTTTCATTTGTTTTGCATTTCTTGTGTTATTAAGACTCACGACTTTCCCCTCCTGCTCTCGGTGGATTTCAGTTAACGTATTCTGTGCCTTTCCTGGAGGATCTTTCTCTCGTTTGCCAGTTTTCCTGTCTCTGAGTTCGCATGTCCAGATGGTTAAGAAGTTTCTCCATCAAGGAAAGCTGCCTGCGGAGGGCCTGATACCTGTTCATAGCTGACTCTGGGGTAAATGTGAAGAGGAAACTCTGATCGCTGAGGATTTTGATTTTGCATAATAAAAGTGATCTTGCACCACGTCACTTCTCGGAAAACACATTAATTCAAATATCTTGTCCATTGTCATGTTCAATGAATTGGTCTCACTGGTAAGGAAGAGCCTCTTTAAAGGAATCGCAGCGGTATCATTCCCCACAAGTAGTGTCACCCTGCCTGCTACGTTCTCGTCTGTTTAATTGGATCCATCAAAGTTTATTTAGGGCCCACTCAGCTTGACACTGTGGGGACTAACACAGGCCGTGAACTGCCCTGTTTTCTAAGTATTTTCCTGATAGTTAAGAGAAACGGCTGGAAATCAAATGCAACTTAGAGAATAATACTTTACAAACAGTTTTTAAAATGCGTGGGGTGGCCAGTATTTATGTATCCCATAGTCAAAGGAGACCATGAGTGCCGCGGTAGTCATGAAAATAAAGTGTATACTTAGATGGTTTGTAAGTAAAGGCTTGGGCGGAGGAAGGGCGTGAGAGGAAACATGCAGAGGGTGGATGAATGGCGGCCGAGAGAACCTCCTAGTTCGAAGTCTGCACAAGAGAAGTTTGTACTTCGGGGGACTTTTTAATACATATTTAGTGATGGAATTGATTGCATCTTTAAATTACATCTCTTCTAGAACACTTGGTTTTTAGCATGAATAATAGCGGATTTAGCTTAATGGTGAATGAATGCGGAAAAGCCTCCTCCAAGTTTCCTATTTAAAATTGGATGTTTGAAATGTAAACAACAGTTATTTCTTTCTTGAAATGTCTAAAAATTCGGCAGCTGTTTTGTTTTCCCCACTCCCGGCATGTTTTACTGAGGTTTGACCGATTTCGGGTAACTACAGGACATTCTATAAGCTAACGCTTCCCTGTCAGCGCTCAACTTTTCCATTCCTCTGAGCATTTATTGACTCAACATATGTTTAGTGGGCATCTATTTGATACCAGCCTTTAAAAAAAAAGATTTATTTATTTATGCATACAAGAACTGGGGTGCAGGCCGGAAGTGCGGGGTTGGAGGGGGTGAAAGGACTCACCAGAGACAGAGTGGGGAGCAGAACAGGCAGATCCACTGAAATACACTGCTGAGGGGAGCAGCAGGGAGTCAGGAGAGGTCTGCTGCACCATGTGGGTAGCTCCCTGGCCGGGGATCGCACTCGTGCTGCAGTGGCTGCGGACAGCTTCATAGGTTGCGTCTTAACCCCTTGCGCCACCAGGGAGGCCCTCATGACTCTTACCATGTTTTAATCTTTTAAAAGATTACTCTGATTTCATGTGCAGATGGAGGAGAGAAAAAGTCGGTGATACCAGTCAGGGGACCACTGTGGCGTCAGGCGGTTCTGGCGAGACGGTGGAGAGTAAGGGTGCAGACGTGGCCTTGAGGATGACCTCGGCAGTGCTGGTGCATGGAGTTTGCATTTCTGCCTCCTGGGAGGTGGATAATTTCAGGCCACCATTGCCAGGACCTGGTCCCAGGCAGGTGGGGTGGGGGCAGAGCCTGGGGCAGGCTCAGTAGCCCTCGGGGGCTCTTCCTGTACAAGGGAGGGGGCTGAGCTCTAGGGAGATGGGGTGATTTCTC